CTCAAAGCGCACACTGACAGACGAGTCTGTCCGTGGTGGACAAAGGAGCTAGCGGACCTCCGCAAGAAAGTACGCAGCCAGTTCAAAAGAGCGAAACGTACGGGGGTCTGGGCAGAACACCGAAGCTATCTCACCTTATATAATAAGGAGATTGGATCTGCAAAGCAGGCCAGCTTCAGGAGATTCTGCGAGAATGTCGCCACTATGCCAGAAGCGGCTCGGCTCCACAAAGCTCTGGCTAGGGGCACAAAGGGAGCAGAATTAGCAATTAAGCGGGACGACGAGGCATTCACGACCAGTGCGGAGGACAGGGCCATGGAGCTCTTGAGGGCGCACTTCCCGGAGACAGTTCGGGAGGACCGCTGTCCACCGGTGATCGAACACAGGCCATCCCACGAGGATTGGAGTATTGCCAAACAGCTGTTCACGGCGGACTCGATCCGGTGAGCGCTGGCCTCGTTTGAGAGCTTCAAGCCTCCGGGAGTGGAATGACCTCTTTCCGGCGCTGTTGCAACAGGGGGAGCAGCTTTTGCTGCCCCACCTAGTTCGACTGCTGAGAGAGAGCCTCGCATTGGCGTATATCCCTGAGGTATGGAGGACAGCGAAGGTGATCTTCATACCTAAGGTAGGAAGGAAAGACTACTCGTTGGCGAAATCATTCAGACCGATAAGTCTAACGTCCTTCCTACTGAAAACCATTTAGAAGATCGTGGATCAAGAAATAAGGATGAAGGTGCTAAAGAGTTCACCGCCACATGCGGCTCAACATGCCTACAGAGCGGGCAGATCTACCAGCACTGSTCTGTACCAGCTGACCTCTGGAATAGAGAGTTCACTGGAGCATGGGGAGGTGATGCTCTGCGCGTAGAAGCCGTACTCCGCTCAAGGGTTGCTGAGACCACAGTAGGTGATAGCAGTATTCGTCTCGGCACAACAAGAGGHTGYCCACAGGGGGGTGTGTTATCACCCCTGCTATGGAGTCTTGTTGTGGRCGAACTGCTAACACTGCTAACAGACAATGGAATCCAATGCCAAGGGTACGCGGACGACATTGTCATTATGGCAAGAGGGAKAWTTGAAGACACTCTTTGTGACTTGATCCAAAGAGGTCTTAACCTAGCGAAGGGGTGGTGCAGAGAGGTTGAACTAAATATCAACCCCTCCAAGACGTATGTAATCCCATTTACAAGACGCAGGACCTACCCGGCCTCAGGAATCTCCTACTGGGAGGTAGTGAAATAGGGATAACCAGCAGTGTTAAGTACCTCAGTTTAACGTTAGACTCCACGCTGAGGTGGAAGCAGCACGTAAACCTGACTTTGGTCAAGGCGACAAGGGCCTTAATGGTGTGTAATCGCCTGGCAGGAAGGTCCTGGGTTTTAACGCCAAGAATAGTTAGATGGCTGTACATCATGATAGTAAGACCGWTAATCACATATGGGGCGGTAGCCTGGGCCTCAGTAGCGTCGCAAACATCGGTTAGGACACAACTACTGAAGCWGCAGAGGCTGGCCTGTGTCTGCATGACGGGTGCAATGCGAACCTGTCCAACGGCGGCACTGGAGGTTCTTCTTGAACTTACTCCACTTCATCTGGTCAACGGTCTAGTAGCCAAACACACTCTTCTGCAAATAACGGCAGAGGGGTGGGGAAAAGGAAAAATAGTCTCATCCCGGAGGATGGGGAAGATAAGTGGCAAGTTACCACTGGTCCTCCTGCCGAGGGATAGTACTACTAAAAAGGTAAACCTAAGGAAGAGGTTTAAGGTCACCCTCGGCAGCAATGAGGATTGGAACGACTCCAACCTCGAGCAGTTGTTGAGGAACAGTACTATGAGGTGTTACACAGATGGCTCTAAAATGTCGGAGGGAATCGGCGCTGGGATTGTGGGCCCACGCACTAGGCTCCCAGTATCCATGGGTTAGTTCCCGAGCATTTTCCAGGCAGAGGTGAATGCTATAAGCCGGTGCATAGAAATTAACCTCCATCGCAACTATCGCAATGAGCGTATAGCTATTCTAAGCGATAGTCAAGCGGCGCTGAAGGCGATCTCCTCTTACGAGATCAAGYCGCTTCTAGTGCAGGAGTGCAGGGAGAGGCTGAATAGCCTTGCGGAGARAAACCAGGTACACCTGATATGGGTGCCTGGTCACAAAGGTATAGCCGGCAATGAACTGGCAGACGAGCTCGCCCGCTCCGCAGCCTCCACGAGGATGGTAGGACCCGAACCCTTCACAGGAGTGGGTCCCCACACCATCAAGGAGCTGCTCCGTAAAAAGGAAAGAGCAGGAAGGGAAGAGCACTGGCGACAAACTCATGGTGTGAGACACGCCAAGCTGCTAATGGGGGGTTACAACCTGAAAAGGTTCAAAATAGTAATAAACCTCCCCAAGAGCAAACTCAGGCTATTAGTCGCATGGTAAACTAGCCACTGTAAGCTGAATGGGCATCTGCACAGAATGGGCCTATCAGGTTGCGCCAACTGCCGTTTCTGTGACAGGGAGGCTGAAACTCCGGAGCATCTGCTGATCGACTGCACAGCAGTCTATATTCGCAGAGCCAAGGCCCTTGGAGCTCTATTTCCGGATAGGGATCGCATTGCCTCGCTAGCGCCTAGCAGTCTACTGGACTTCATTAATGGGCTGGGACTAAGTGAGGTAATGTAAGGAAGGAGAGGGCGCAATAGACCAAAGGTCGCAGTGCATTCCTCATTATCATTCATTCATTCATTCATTCATGGATGTCAAAGTAAACAACATATTTTTATCGAGTCAGTAAATATTGCTACAGTGCTAAGAAAGAAAGCGGAAAGTACTATGAACTTTCTGTTGTATTGTAGCTTGCTGTTAATACTTATGCARTAAATAAACAATGTATGTCGTATATACATATATAGAACATATGTATTTATAAGCGTTATCCCATAATARATAGAATTCAATTGGTATTTTAACAACTTTAAACCAACCATMCTATTAACGAAGACACATTACTTTTTTTCCTTGTTGAAAGTACTACATACTAACTAGAAACTACTCGATATAAAACAACATTAAGGTATATAAAATAAATTTTCTGTGCTGTCCRGCATACACACTAACATATTTTTTATAAATTTATGTTAATGCCAAGGAACTTGACTAGGATTGCTAATTGTTCCTTTTTTATAGTATTTCGCAGTAGCAACTGCAGCGGTAGTAAAATTCGGGGAGTTAAGATTTGGTTCGTATGGCGATAAACTTCCCTCYGCTTTTAAAACGACAGCGCATTTCCAGTTCCTTGTATAATTCACTATAAAAACAGAGGATATGAAAAGTTTTTAGTATTTTCAGCAATAAACTTACATCGCCAAATACGAACGCAACCATCATCACCAGTAGAAATCAACATCGTTCCCAGCATGTTCCAACACACTCTCCAAACGGGACAATTATGATCACTAAACCGTGTGGTTTGGGTTTCAAGTGTCATATTCGAAGTAGAATCACTAAATTGATAAAATCTTATATATTAAATATTCAATTTCATCATATAGTTATATACTTGTTTCCATGAATGTTTACAATGTATAAATCYTTACTAGCAACAGCCAGAATATGAAATCTCCGACCGGCAGCAGGAGCAAACGCCAAATCAGTTACTGGTTGATTTATTTCACTTATAGTTTCCACTTCAGCACACTTTCTTGCGCTTTCATTGTATGCAAATATAAATACTTTACCTGTATTCATCGATGGATCATCACTACCAGCCTGCAAAAACTTATTTAATATACAGAATTTYACCCTTTTCCCATAACTTACCGCTAAAAGATGTGATGAAAGTTTATATGTAGAAGTATTCCATGATATACAGGTTAAGGGCAATTTGCATGTTATTTCGTGCTGAACAGGCCACTGCGAAAGGTTCATTATATCCGGAGCTTCGTATATTCGAATAATACCATCAGCGGATACTGTAGCTAGCAATAGTCCTAAGTATTTGGGAGCAAATTCTATATCGGTTACACTTGTACGTGAGTCTACAAGAGTCGTTCGCCGYACCCAACGACGTGCTGGTGTCATTGTCGCTGCTACTTTTTCACCAGCAACTTCTTCCCATACAGAAGCTGTGCGGTCAAACGAGCATGTAGCTAAAACTTGTCCAAACTCGGGATGTGCCCAAGATATACGCCAAATAGAACCAGAATGCGCCTTCCAACTACTAGAAACTGTTAACTTTCCGAATTCATCTTCATCCCATATCTAGAAATTTATGTATTACTCAAAAATAAAATAGTTTTCCAACATCTTACCTTTACTGTTTGATCACTTGAACAAGTACCCATTCTTCGACCGTAATAATCAAATGAGACATCATRGATTACGTCTTTGTGATCAGCAGATATGGGATCGACTTCAAACATTTTGTAAATTAAACGAAGAAGTATGTTTATTGACAACAATCTCAAATTATCGTAGCAATGTTGCAGAAAAGAATTTAAAATGTGAAATTCCACACAGGGTGCCAATTGATGCAATAAATTAATTGGGCAATCTTTAGTTTTATAATAAAATTATGAAATATTTCTAGTATTTATTAAATTCATTTATTATAAACTTATGAACAAGTAAACTAATGTATACAAGTTTATTTCTCCTAATAATTTTTAAAAATATATTATTTTACCAATTTTAAAGTTTAATATATAATAAATATTCCGATTACTCTGTGTTACAATTATACCATTTATCAACGACCCATTACAGTTTCATGTAAAAGCAACTATTACTATGTGCAGGTTCTGTCCTTTTAAGTTTTATTAAAAGTATTCATAGAAGAGCTTACATGATTGGGAAAAAGTGCAAACATGAATATAAACTACAAAGCCATATGAAAAGTATGTGCCTACTTTTGACGGATTTTAGAGAAAATTATTAAATGAAGAGTAGAAGGTAGAACAAAGCAAGTTTAATACAACTTAAAAAAAAACAAAACGGAAATATATCTTATTATCGCGAAAATAATTACAACATATACATAATAMAATTAAAGCAATATTAAAATGAATTGTTACAGAATTTCCACTGTATATGAGCAATGAACAAAACACGTAATTTAGCAATAGCTTTAAACAAGTCTGTCGCATTGAATACTACCCCGCAAAGAATACACTTTACCCTTTTGCCCATCGTTTTGACAAAGTATTGCATATACAACACAAGTCGTGCACCACCACCACCGTTTTAACAACGATCACAGTCAGCAGCTATAAGGCCCTTAATGTCAATACAATAGATAGTATTGGTGATGATCTTTATTAACTAAATTACCACTTTGATTTTGCAATAAATCTTGTTTGAAAATTTCTTCTGACAAATACCGTGAATATAGATAAATTTATACTGCAATCCACAATGTCAGCCGATTCTGACATGGAATATTCTGACAACGATTGTGAATACGACGATTATTATAATTCAGGTGAGTAACCTTTTGAAAAATTATAATGCCACTTCTGTGTTAAATATTGCATAGATAGACAGATAGATAGAGATAAATAATTGAGGAATGCACTGCGACCTTAGGTCTATTGTGCCCTCTCATAACTCACAGGGACTCGCTTAGCCCCAGCATATTGATGAAGTCCAGTATTTTGCTGGGTGCTAGCGAGGCGATTTGGTCCCTATACGGAAACATGCCTCCAAGGGCCTTCGACCTGCGCCTACAGACTGCAATGCAGTCGATTAACAGGTGCTCYGGAGTTTCAAGGTCCCTGTCGCAAAACCGACAGTTGGCGCAAGATGATAGGCCCATGTTGGCTAAATGCCTTTTCAGCTTGCAGTGGCCGGTGTAAAAAGCGACCAGGATCCTGAGTTTGTTTCTTGGGAGGTTTATTAACGATTTGAACCTCTTCAGGTTGTACCCCCCAACTAGCAGCTTGGCATGATGCATACCGTGCGCTCGCTGCCAATACTTTTCCCTGCCCACTCTCTCCTCCTTGCGGAGCAGCTCCTTCACAGTATGGGGACCCACCCCAGTGAACGGTTCGGGCCCAACCATATTGGTGGAGGATGCGGAGCGAGCTAGGCTCGTTGCCGGCTATACCCCTGTAACCGGGCACCCAGATTAGGTGCACCTGGTTCTTTCCAGCTAGGTTGTTCAACCGTTCCCTGCACTCCTGCACCAATGGCGATTTGATCTTAGGAGGAGATCGCTTTTAGTGCTCTTGACTGTCGCTAAGTATAGCTATTCGCTCGTTGCGATAGTTGCGGTGGAGGTTTATCTCTATACACCGACTTATAGCCAAGACTTCAGCCTGAAAAATACTCGGAAAACTTCCCATCGGAATGGAGAGCTTGGTACGCGGACCTGCAATACCCGCTCCTATTCCTTCTGACGTTTTCGAGCCACCTCAATGTGCTATCCCTTAACATTTGATCAAGAGTGGAGTTGTTCCACTCACTCTTGCTACCGAGGGTAACCTTAAACCTTTTCGTGCAGTGAGTTCTAGTAATGCCGTCCTTTGGGARGAGGGCAATAGAAATGTCGCCACTTATCCTCTCCATCCTCTGGGACTAGATTATCTTGCCTTTGCCGCATCCCTCTGCTGTTATCTGCAGAAGTGAGTGCTTGGCTACTTGACCTATCATTATATGGAGCGGTGTGAGTTCCAACAGGACCTCCAGACTTGCCGTCGGACAGGTCCGCATAGCRCCCGTCATGCAAACACATGCTAGTAGTAAAGGCAACTTTATAACATCATGAGACATTCCCGTAACTGTTGTGATGACAAGAGTTCTAGTAGAAAATTTTTGTAAATCCGACTGTTGGAGTAAAAAAAAACAAAACTGCAACTATAAAATATTTTTGACAATTCAAATAGTGGGCGATTTAAGTTTAGATTTGTTATCGGTTGTGATTAATTGTTGTAAATATTTTGGAACACATTGATTTTTAGCTTTGTGGGCAGTGATAAAAGACTTTAATTTTTGCCTATTTAGAACAGGTATGCAAAAATCTCATTATTTTATATTCAATTTGTAAAGCKAGGTCTGATTTCAAAATAAAGTTTAATAAGATTAATCTACCATTTGCATAAAAAACTATGTTACATTTTTATAACCCGAATGAAGGTTATAAAATTTGTCCCGAAATTTTTAACACACAAAAATAAGAGTCTAGGACCTTATAAAATATAATACATATATATATATATATATGCCCGCAGATACTAATATACGCAAAGTAGACCCTCAGGTCTCTAAAATTTTACGCATTACCTTTTCTCCGCAAAAGTTGTTCATATTACGAAACCGCCTATATCGCACCTGTTAGAATATAACTAGTATACAAAGTGATCGACCGAAATCCCCTTGCCACAGCAGTTGAGTCTTAGCAACCGGTATGGGCACGGATTTTTATCTGGTCAAGGACTGTCAACTCGGTTGTTTTTATTGCGAGTACTTGGATTCATGTGATGCGCAGGCCGGAACATTTTGCGAAATGACACCAGCCAGAGCAGGAATTACATCTGACTGAAGTGATGTTCCGACGCRTTACGGTTTGACGCACGAAACTGAACGGAACTGCGGGGAACCAGGAGTTGTCTTGTGGCATCTGCCCGGGCATCGGTCAAAGATGAAACTGGAATTTATGCTGCCTAGTTGAGCATCGTGGGTTCGTAAAAGTTCCTTGTTGACACTCCACTGGAGAGGCAGTGCATCGTCATCAACTGCTGCTATTGATGAATGGTCGAAGTCTTTAAAAGACATACTAAATAGGATACCTTTTATCTCTTTATGTTAAAAGTCAATACAATTCATAAATACCAAGATTATATTTCAAATCATCAGCATGTGTTCAATTTTCTTGTTCGAATCAATTGAAATTTGTATTGTATAAAGAAAWAAATAAAAAAAAATAACAACACAGAGCTAAGAGGAAGAACATTTCGTATGCATGTATATTTAGTATTTGGGTTTTACTGTTTGGTGCTCCTGAACAGAGAAACGATGAAGTATATGCGTACAAATGCAAATATTATACCACATGTATCCTAAAAGASGGTGCCATAACCTTGCCAGGCGAGTTTTTCGTCTTTTCACGATTGAGGACCGGTTCATCATGTGAAGTCCACTAGGCTGAATGTTGGTCGGACTTCAGAGTGAAATGATGGAGCCATGCCAGCCGACGTTTTCGTCTTTCCACGATTGAGGACCGGTTAATTATGTGCAGTCCACGAGGCTTCTCGTGTGAAATGATGAAGCCATGTTTCTATTGTCACACACTCAAACTCTCCTCAAAATCAACAATCCGTTGTTATGGTTGGATTATGAACTTGCACGGCACCCACTTTGCTTAGAGCTTTCGCCTTTTTAGGATGTCCACCTTCCTCATTGTCGTCGGTGCTCATTTCGCCTCTGTCCAACTTAGCAAATATATTTTCAACGGTTGATTTTCCTGGTGCAGAACGCAATTTCAACAGTATTTTTCACCCTTTTACTTTTTGTAAACCAACACAAGTTGCTTCACCCAAAATGCTATATCTCATTAACTAATAGTTCCTCAGTTGCCAAATTTGTATCTTTTAAAGGTAGACGCTGACTAAAAATCGCATAGATGATATTAGTAGTAGCATCTATGTATCAGCCACAGTAAAACCTGGTCGGGCCCTATAGTACTATATAGTTACGTTATTTTTTCGTTAACGAGCCTATCTCCCTATTGTACAAACAAGCCTCCAAAAATGAAAATGTCGATATCAAAAATAATGATTTGAATACGAATAATAATTGTATACAATGCATATAGACASTTTTTTGATCCAGTTCCAAAGGACAAAGTGAACCCAAACAATTTGCTGTCTTCACTCATAATGATATAGTGTATATGGGACAATATATATGTACATATGTTCACATTTATAAGTGAATTTAGATGAATACTTGTATATACGAGGAGAACGAGTATGTGATTAAAAATGCAAAGGACTGCGTATATCAGCTCGCATATTGTTTAAGTATTTCTYATGGAAATAAAAAAGTCAAAAAGTGAAAAATAAGCATAAATTTATATACAGTTGAACTTCCATTAGTCGAAGTTCTCCCTAACTCGAACTCTTGAATTGGCAACAGAAGWCAAAATTCTTTCAATAACTGGAAATCTCTTTAACTTGACGTTCTTTTGTGGATTATGGTGATTCGAGTTAGGGAAATTCAACTGTATTTATGTACAGATAACTATAAGTTTTTTTTTGTCGGAATTTACTTTGTTAGGTTTGCTTTGGCTTTATTTGTGTTAATTAGTGCAATTTTAAATTCGAAAAACTAAAAGCTTAAATTTTTAGGTGAAGACTGCGATGTGGAACGGCTGGATCCAAAGAAAACTGATCCTGAGTACTTCGAATTTGTATGTCTAACTGTCGAGGAGGTGGAAAAATTGCTCAACGAGTCTGTGGAAAAACTGAACACAATTCTAGAGATTACTCCTTCACTGGCGAAAGTGCTACTGCTGGAGCACCAATGGGACAATCAAGTGGTAGTGGATAAATACCGAAAGGACGCAAACGCATTGTTAATAACAGCTCGAATAAAACCGCCGAATCCATTGCTCAGTATACCTGATCCGTTGGCGCCCTCCACCAGCAAAGACGCAATTGTATTTGGTACTAGCAGTAGTATTAGTAGGAACAGTAGTTGTAGTAATGATGACTCACCACGCAACGTTTTGATCTCATTAGGTATATGCAATGCGTATAACACAGTGACACCTGGCGGTGGCATCGTCTCACAGCTCTGTCAAATGTGTCCAGTCTGTGCTAGTTCTCAGATGGGTGATAAATTCTTTAGCCTCTCATGTGGTCATGCATTCTGCAAAGACTGTTGGTCAACGTTTTTCGATACACAAATATTTCAAGGTATTTCCACACAAATCGGCTGCATGGCCCCCATGTGTAATGTGCGAGTTCCAGAAGATTTGGTCTTGACCTTAGTGACACGTCCCGTAATGCGCGACAAGTACCAACAATTTGCGTTCAAAGATTACGTAAAGTCGCATCCTCAGTTGCGCTTCTGTCCCGGACCGAATTGTCAAATTATTGTTCGCTCTCCAGAGGTTTGTGCAAAGCGTGTCATCTGCACTTCTTGTCATACATCGTTTTGTTTCAAGTGTGGCATGGATTATCATGCGCCCACTGACTGTGTAGTTATTAAAAAATGGTTGACGAAATGCGCTGATGACAGTGAGACAGCTAACTACATAAGCGCCAACACCAAAGACTGCCCGAAATGCCACATTTGTATTGAAAAGAATGGAGGATGCAACCACATGCTTTGTTTTAACTGCAAACACGACTTTTGTTGGATGTGCCTGGGTGATTGGAAAACGCACGGATCTGAATACTATGAATGCTCTCGTTACAAAGACAATCCGAATATTGCCAATGAATCGGTGCATGTGCAAGCTAGAGAAGCGCTCAAGAAATATTTGCACTACTATGAACGGTGGGAAAACCATTCAAAATCTTTACARTTGGAGCAACAAACTATTGACCGATTACGTGATCGTATCAATGAGAAAGTGATGAAAGGAAGGGGCACATGGATTGATTGGCAATATTTGTTCAATGCGGCAGCTCTATTAGCGAAATGTCGGTATACACTGCAGTATACATATCCATATGCTTACTTCATGGAAAGTGGTTCGCGTAAGGACCTTTTCGAATACCAGCAGGTTAGTTAAAACAACAAATWAATAGAATCTTATGTAAATATAATTGTACAATCTATTTAAAGGCTCAACTTGAAGCTGAAATAGAGAATTTATCTTGGAAGATAGAACGTGCGGAGACCACAGATTTGGGTGATTTGGAGAATCAAATGGATATCGCTGAAAAGCGTAGAACAACGCTGCTCAAAGACTTTTTCCCCGTAGACTTTTGAGTGCCAATTAAATGACTGCAGTAAAATAGTGAAATTAATATTTATATTTAAGTTTATGTTTCAATGATTAATGCTTCTTATAGCATTATCTGGTCAACATGGCTGCTAATTGGAATGGATAAACTGCAATATAAACGCAATGCGCTGAATATTTTATAGAATATTAAAAAAATTCACACACATATACAAGCATTAACGTATAATTGCGTAATGTTCCCATATATTATTTAAGTAGAGTATAAAATGTATATATTTCTAAAGCGATATTACCTCTTGGCAGTATCCAAATGAATGTGTATCGAGTTGTGTTAAATATTGACGAACTCACAACAAAAATACTAACACAGCGTGTTTACACTTCGGTTAGTTAAATATCATTCAAATAATATTAGTTTTTGAAATACCTGAGAAGTGTAAAACAAAAATTTTAATGTGAATATCTGAACAAATTAGTAGTTCGATAAACTTAACAAATTAAGTCAATAAAGAGATTATTGGCATGTATTAGCTTATTAAAGTAACAGTTGAACAAGAAACTGATTATCGAACCCAGTAAGCGATTTAATTACGAAAGACGACATAGGTGCACTCTATTCGTTTCAACGTTCGTTCAACGAAACAATATACGTATAATATATACAATGTGTTGCGGGGTATACATATTCATATGAAAATTTGTAGTGCAGTACACTCTTATAAAAAATAATCTTTTTAACATTTTTGTTTATATATTTTTGAGTGATTTGAGCGACTAGTAATTTTCCACACAGTTTTCCATGCTAAATAGAATCCAATATTACATATACGGTAGCTAAAGCTATCTGCTAAAGCTTTTTCACTCAGTATTAATTCCAAAATATAAATGCTATTTGACGTTTTGATAAGCCTAGTGTGATGAAATGGTTTTGAATTCTGCGTAAATGTTCCGTTGGATGTGACTAGTTACTACCCAACAACAGATTTAGTGTTTCGCAATCTATTTTTATAGTTTATATAAAATATGTGGTATTAAATTGGCTTTAGATCTTTGTTTTGTTTTTATACTTGGTTATTTTATTTTATTGTAAATTTTACTGTGTATAGTTCGATTTACACATTTTGACTGAATAAGTAATATTATGATATAAAATAAGTGTAGAATAATATGGAGCTCTAATCTGAGCTCTTTAATTGTATAATTAATTATAATTAGTTAACGTATCCCATTAAAGAATGCGGAATATATATAAAGAAAACGACCATACTACGTCCCAGATGAGAAGCTGGGACAACATGATATTTTCAATTTTACTGCTATATATATTCGACCGCGTTTTTATTTTAATTACCTTGTAAATTTTATCATAAACATGTAACCACCCTTCAATTGAAACAATTGATATAAAAAATGCTTTTTAAAACATCATGCGTATAAAAGTGTAATAATTAGAAAATAAACTACATTAATAGCAATAGCGTCAGTCATTTTAATTTATTTTATTTTGGAGAGTATAGAGAGTAGCTTTGTTTGTAAGTACGGTGATTACATATGTATGTATTTGACAAAAATGTAAAACCTCCTCTGTTGCATACCGAGCTTTGTTTAGCATTTCGATTATAGTTACGTTTTCGAAAGTCGTAAATTTRTATTAAATAAGTGAGAAACATATGTACATTAAATGACGTTGTGGTTATAGTGGCAATTTTGAGGACATCTGCCGAGTTGACAGTTCCTAGCCGGATAAAAATTCGGGCTGGTTCCGGTTACTTAGACTCAACTGTCGTGGGAACGGATACAATAAATACTGTTCAGCGTCGTCAAAAAATCACAGAGTATTATAGTTTTGTTTAGCTAACAGCTATTTAGAACAACTGAAACTAATCGACATAGAAAGAGGGTATGTATAGGACAACTGTATATAAAAATTATGGGATGACTAACCAAATTGAATTTCGCATGTCTTTCGTTTCGGTTTCACCCTTAGCCCTTCTTTAGTTCACTTTTAATAAGCTTTTGTAATCATATTTTGTACACTAAAAAAATACAATAGAACTGGTTAGTAATGTTTATATTTGTCGACATCATGCCCTAAAATACCCTAATGGAAGTTATATTGAAATTACATTAAACTGCAGATGACTCCTGTATTGTTGTTATTTAAACTCCATAACCCTTTGACAAGATATTAGAAAAGATAATTTCTTATATAAGTACAATAGCGAGCCCTTACGAATGAAAGAATAAAATTCGAAATTTTATTAAAATATGCAGAAAAGTTGTGTTTGTTTAAGTGGCCATATACGAAATTCTATGCACACAATTAATAAACTGAACATTTGAAAATAAAGTAAAATTAATAAGTAAGGAAGAGCTAAGTTCGGATATAACCGACCATTTCATACTCTTGCAACTTGCAAGGATTAAAACCCGGAAAGTACCTTTAGGTACACAAGGCTGGTTAGTTATTGGGTCTGAGGGCTAAGGGAAATATTGGTTTCAATTATTGTTTACTAAAAGGGAATTATTATTAAAATATACAATAGTTTTGATTTTTATTRCGATGACAAAAATTCGAACTTCCGAACAGCAAGTAAGCCAAGGTTTTATTAACAATTAAATTAACATCTTACTAATGTTTATTGTAGATTCATAAATTATTCTCGTTTAAATGGGGAATCAATATGTTTTCTACGAAATGAGACACACAAACTATTTATTTCCTTGTTATCGGTAGTTTTGCAGGAAGGCATTTTAAATGATTGTAACTTTGGACTGAAGTATCCTACGATATCTACATATGTTTCATACAAAACCTACATTTAAATGTTATGATACCATATCATAAACTGCGAATCAGTAATGACTGAAGAGGAGTAAACACTTCCAAACTTAAATTTAGGGCGCAAAAATAAAAAAAATTAAAAACTTTGATTCTGCTTGTGGATTATTTTTATTTGGTCTTTTACATTTTTTTTACTTCTAGTCGATAATATGATATCATGTAAATGGCCGCCACAGTTACGCTTTGGCCAGAACTTCCGATGATAGGTCCTCACATTCTTACCMCCCCAACTTCAAAAAGCTTGGTGGCCAGTCCAAATCGCCAAAACGGGAGATTGGGCGCCCGGGAAATGCTTCCTTCAGCATATCGGTTGTGGCTCGAGCTGTGTGTGYCGTTGCACCGTCGTAATGGAACCACATGTTTTCCAATCCCAATTCATCAAGTTGCAGCAAAAAGAACTCGTTAATCATTGCTCTGCAGCACTCACACTAACCGYTTGGCCCGCGACGTGACTTTGACCGGGTGTAATGACTCTTTGTGGGTTGCACGCGGATTTTCAGTGCCCGCTAAGATGGAAATCGGCCTCACCACTCATAATTAGTTTTGATGAAAAATCAGCTTGCTCTTTGTGGTGATTAATGATGRCCTGACCGTATGTTAAACGCGATTAGCGGTCAGCAGCTAACAGCTGATGCATCGTCTGGACTTTGTATCTTCAATTGTACCGAAATTCACTGTAAACACCGTCGACTGATATCCATTTGCGTGGCATGTCGTCTGGTCGATTCTCTGCAGAACGGCTTCTCCGGAGTCTGCCACGCCTGACATCATCTTGTGTTGTGCCAGTCTTTTCGAGGCAAGCGGCTAAACGTCGCTGTGTTTCACCAGTAGGCGTTGGACGACCAGAAAATAAGAGGTCAATTGATAGGACTCTTAATTTCATTTTAAAGTCTCCAAATGTTTTTAGAAATTTACTCTACGAGCTCAACAAATTTTTTGCTTTTCTATTGATCTTTAACTAATAACTGATTAAAATAGTTTGAAATTAAAAAAAAAAAATAGTCTTCTTATCGATTTTCTATTAATATTTTTAATAAATAATCTCATTAATGCTTAGCTACAACTGTTTGTTAACTATGGTCTCCACCACTCCTCTACCGTGTTGTTAACAGTTGAAAATTTTTGATATTCAAGTCAACCCCACTAGACACGGTGAGGAGTGGTGGAGTTTCAAGTTTGACAGCTCTTCAACCGAAATTATTTGATGGGTTGAGTTGAATACCGAATTTTAAAACTCCAACCAAAATGTAGTTAAGTTGAAAACTATAATAAGGGCCAAAATCTTTAAAATGCTTATCTAATAAATGTATAAATAAATTACAATAATTGCATTTACATTACATATGTACACTTGTGCTCATACAATTAAGCCACATAAACGTTATGGTGTACAAATTCATAAAAGTTGAATTTTATTGATAAATCGGAAAAAAAAGTTTCACAAAATTAAAAGAAAGTACTTAAACTTTATTGTACTTATAGTTTTTTAAAGGTAAATTTTAATGTAAAAGCAAAAATCTGTTTTCTTCTTCATTGGTATGTATTTTTCGTGCTCATATAATTAAGCCACCTGCAAAAATAAGCTGTCAGATAAAAGAATTCGATGTTTTGTTCAAAAAAACTTGCCTTATTTAGACTAATATTTTGTTGGGAATCCCTTTTGCAAAATTACTTCCCTGCAGCGTTGGTTCATTGTACGGACTAGTGTGTTACATTGGTCCGGAGTAATTTTCCTCCATTCTTCATTTAAAATTTGCCACAAAGTAGCCTTATTTGACGGTTTTCTCGCCGCAACTGCCCTTTTAATAATCCCCCATAGATTCTCTATAGGGTTTAAATCCGGGCTTTGGGCAGGCCACTCAAGACACTTGATACGGTTCATCGCAATCCAGTCCTTAACGACCCTGGAGCAGTGCTTTGGGTCGTTATCCTGTTGAAATATCCATGCGCTGTCTCTTATACACATCTAGATGTGTATAAGAGACAGGTCCTACTCCGCATGAAGTAAAACACCCCCATACCATGACTGATGATCCACCATGTTTGACAGTTTTTTTAGTATACCGTGGGTTCAGTTCTTGTAGTGGTGGTCGCCTGACATAGGATCTACCGTCATTCCCAAAGACATTAAATTTAGATTCATCACTCCATACCACTAGATCCCAGAATTTTGAGTCCTTTTGCAGGTGCTCTCTTGCAAACGCTAGCCTTCGTTTGATGTTCCTTTTTGTAACGATCGGTTTGCTTCGTGCAATTCGCCCATTTAAGAAATTTTCCTGTAATCTCCGTCGGACTGTCTGTGCTGATACCCGTACACCATGATTTTGCTCAATTTGGGCTCTAATTTCACTCCAGGTCAAAAAAGGATCTACCTTGCTCATCCGTACTATCTGCCTGTCGTCGTTAGGAGTTGTTTTTCTGGGTTTTTTACGGGGCAGATTTTCAAAAGTCTTATGTTTTTTAAAATATTGTAAAGCATTCTTAACCTTTCCCCTAGAAAAGGTTAAATATTCCACTACTTTCGCAATATTTTTGAACTTTTGGTAACATTCCCATATGACTCTTCTTTCACATGGAACTGTACTCTTGTTTTTACTCATTGTTTAGAAAACTTTCAAAAAACGTTTTTAAATTAAATGGAACCAATAAACGTTTCACTTTTTTAATAATTTTTTTTTACACAGGCAGTGATTGCAAAGCTTTTGTAACACTGGCTTAATTATATGAGCATACGCGACTAGATCAACTGCGAGTTTATTTTCATTTTTTCACCAACCACGATACTTATTTCTCTGAATAACTTCCTAACATATAACGGAACTTTTTTGCATACCGTTATACAAATGAAAATCTAATTCGGTGAATTTATTTTCAGAAACGTAGTTTTGYTATGCAGTGGCTTAATTATGTGAGCACAAGTGTATATGTATGTTGAATTCTCGCACATAAAAAAATCATTGAAGAATGAACAAAAAAAAAACAGTTTTATATGATGTTTGGCTTTAGCTATATACATATATATATCATACTGATCGAAAACACAGTTGCTATTTATACAGGTAAAACTACTTGTTCGTTAACGTATACGCAACCGTGCTATATAGTTTTACCTTAATAGATTAGGAAAAATTCGTTAATTAGTAACGAGTTGAGCTGTCAAAAACTGACGAGTTTTCGTCGAAAATACGCGAGCTGTCAGATTTTTTGCCTTGTTTTTTCAGCTATTAAGAAGATTACCGCTGTTGTTACAGACAAGAGAATAATTTGCGTTTTTATTTAGCAAATACAGATTGTTAAGAAAATTATATAAATTTGATAACAAGGTGTGTTTTTTAATTTTAGTTTTAATATATAAGACCTTTAAAATGCGAATTTTAACAGTGCGAGTTATGTATTTCTACTTTTCCAGAATCGCTGGCATGCGTTCAGTTTATGTTGTGAGTTATAGTTAATTGGGTAGTTTTATGGACTCTATTCATTTCAATATGTCTGCAGCCGACGAATTTGAGGAACCAGCCCCTACGCCAACATATAATTGTAAAAGGTGCAAAAAGGTAAATAAAGTTCTGTGCTAATGTACGTCATACACGCTCAACCGTGCATGTTCAATGGATGCCTTTATTAATAATTATTGTTTCTTAAATAGACTTTCTCTTGTAAAAGGGATCAGCTTCTYCATAAAAAAGAAGTACATTTTCAAGCAAAGTCATCTTATGAATGCAAGTTGTGCTCCAAATTTTTCTGCAATGGTGGCAATTTGGAACGCCACATGAAGGTACACAATGATGTCCGCCCATTTGTATGTCATATATGCGAAAAAGCTTTTGCCCAAGCTGTAAACTTACAACGTCACTTTTCGGTTCATAATGGCGAAAGACCGTATCAATGCAACTTTTGTACCAAATCCTTTACTCAACAGAGTAACATGCATCGCCATCAATTAACTCACACTGGGGAAAAACCATTCCGCTGTAAGCGTTGTGGTCGCTATTTCTCTCAGCGTGTTAATCTTAAGAAGCATATTATGGGCCATTTGAATGCAAAACCTTACGCCTGTGGAATATGTCAAAAATCATTTATTCAACTAAGTAACTTCAAGAAACATTTGCAATCTCATGTAAAAGAAGGTGTTGAAGTAGATATCGCAGCAACAGTTGCAGCAGCTACAGCGGCAGCGCGCCAAAGTATTGAGTTGGCATCGCAACCTGTGTAAGTAAACACTTTTAATAATGATAAGTGTAACCCCAATTGTTTTATTTCTTTTTTCTTGCAGGGCTTTTGAGTGTGCAATTTGTCGAAGTATTTACGATAACTTTGCAGATTTTGAAATGCATGAGAGTGCCTGTACAGGTGCAGTGCAACCGAAAGTTGAAGCTCTGGACACAAATACCTCCGTTGACATGTACTCTCCAATGAAGTTCGAGGTTGCACATCTAGACACTCATGAGATAATTATTGAAACCACCCGTTAAAGTTAATGTATTGAAGTACGTAATATGCAAGTAATGTGAGAAATAAATTTAAATTGGTCTAAAATAGGCAAGAATCACTAATGAATATTTTTTGTGTGCATGGTGTTGTAGCGAAAGAAAATGTTGCTCACATAGTTTTTAGCAATGGAGTTGGTTGCGCTTGAATGGACAAAAGTCTAGGTCGGTTCCGGATACGTATTTTCAAACGTCATGAGACTAAACAGATGTTTTTATTAGTAGGTATTCAGATTTATTTGAAGTAATGAATATAAGTTTAGAACCGCACTACCATTTGTAAATAAAAAATTATCGGGTAAAATTTAGACTAGCATCCCCGGATTTCGGGGATAAAATGGGTATCACTGGAAAGGTGACGTTCTCCAGATCACGAAAATATATATACATAATTGCCGCTGACGTATAGTTTTAAAGATATTTGCATTTAAAGTTGAAAAATTGACAATTTTTATATTGATAATTTGTATATTGTGAATAACTTTTTCACTTATATTATGCACTTTCCACTTACTAACACTTCACTATAACGTTTCTGTATATTAAATTATATATATATTTTCGTGATCTGGAGAACGTCACCTTTCCAGTGATACCCATTTTATTCCCGAAATCCGGGGATGCTATTCTAAATCCCAGCCTAATTATCAAACGATCGTTAGAAAAAATGTATATGCGTATACATGGTATATTTAGAACTATAATACGCGAGTTCTTCCGTATATTTTCATATAAAACGTTCTCTCATAAGCAGAATGCTTCCTTTATAACCCAGTTGCAATACGCTTGCACTTTCTTACTACCTCACTCTCACTCTTGAACGCCGACGTGATATCAATTTTTCCAATCAAGTTGACGATCAAGTTAAAATAGCTGACGCTTAGTTTTGCAAACAAATGTCATGTAATTTTCGGAAATATGAATATTTCCTAATATTCATGAATTGATATCAAAATATATTTAAGTATATCGTGTATGTAATTATATGCAACATTTTCAAACATTTTTTGCATAACGGCCTTTTAAAACTAGTGTAAAATAACGTCAGGTTTGTTAGAGCTTTGAATAATTTTACATTTTACATATTAGTGGCATCACCACTCTACCTCATCTCTCTATCTTCCATTCTMCTGTCAACTCTACTGTCGTCCTACTGTCATTGGCAAATATCAAATTGAAGTTAGCGAGAACGAATCAGTCGTGTAGTCGTGCAGCTGTCAAAATAGGTCCGTCCATAAGAACGTGTGTATTATAATATTTGACAGRTGTCGTTTGCAGTCTGTCGCGAACATTGTATTCCACACATTATGTGCTGAACACATGGAGAGCGACAAACTTCAAGCGACATCATCGTCAAATATTAAAATACACACCTCTTAAGGACACAGGTAGTGAAGGAGCTGTCTAATTTAATTTTTGACGCAAAGCGAAGCGAAATTTCTTTGTGAATTTGAATTCATTATTTATGCTTTTACTCATATTTACACAATTGAAATAAAAACATTCATCGAACTTTTCTGTCAGAGGCTATGTCTGAAGCAAAGCGAAGCAAGAGCAGAACATAAAAACATCTCTAATTTCAAAGACTTGAATACCCTGTACAAACTTGAAAATCAGCTGGCTTTAATGGTTAACATTACAGTTGGAAGACTATTATATTGTAAACAATTTCATTCCCAATTCAAGCATAAACTTTAAATATATTGAATTGAATATTAAAAATGACAAAAGTTGAAAATGGAGAACAGCCCGACGTTAAGTCTGGAAAATCCGAAAAGGAGCGTTCCAATAAACGTGCTCATAAAAAAGAAAAGCAAAAGCCACAGACGAAGGTATGTTTGTTAGTGCCTTTGAGTCTATTTAATTGCTTATTTAACTAGCATATATATACTATTTTACTAATATCATAGATCGTTATTCGACATTTGCCACCTACTATGACTGAGGAAGAGTTTCTGAAACAAATAGATCCACTGCCACCACATGATTTTTACTATTTCGCTGCACCCGATTGGTCTTTGGGATATGACGCTACCTGCCGAGCCTATATAACAATGAAGAACTATGACGATGTGTTTTTGTTTAGAGATCGATTTGATGGATACGTTTTTGTAGATTCGAAAGGTGCTGAGTATCCAGCTATCGTTGAATTTGCACCATTCCAAGGACTCGTTAAAAATAAATCACGTAGAGTTGACAGTAAAGTGAACACCATTGAGCAAGAGTCGCATTATCAACAGTTCTTAACAAAGTTAGAAGAAGACCGAGAAGCTGCAAAAGGTGGTGAAAGCAAATTAGAATTTAGTTTGGACCGCAAAAAAGATGAGAAAATCACTTCAACACCGTTACTCCAGTATCTAGCCAATAAAAAAGAAAAGCGGCGTGAAGAGGCCAAACGGCGACAAGAGGAGAAGCGTCGCCAGCGCGATGACGACAAAGAAAAAAGAAAACAGGCACAATCCCAACAACAAGTAACAAAAATTATATTAAATAACGAAGGAGGCGGTGGCAAAGGGGGAAATAAGTTGGTCAGTGGCAAGGAAAATATTGTCGGTGAAAAGAACAACCAGCAACAACCGCATGAAGAGGGMAAAAGCTCACGTTCCCAAAGACGAGCTGAGCGCAATCAAAGAAGGCGAGAGGAATTTGAACGTAAACGACAAGAACGAGATCAAAGAGATAAAGGCGGCGAAGGCAAATCAAATCAAAATAATAATGTCGAATCTAATTTGGCCAACGATAAAAAAAGTCGAGAACAGTCACAACATGGAAATAAATCAGATGATGGGAAGCAAGCACTACGTAAAGAAGGTGGAAAACGTTACAGTGAACGTCGAGAACGAGATAGAAATCGCAACCGCAAAGATAAAGAAAAAGAGAAGGCCAAGGATTCTTCAGTTGGCGATGAAGTGCTTAAAACCGAAAGTACAGCGTCAGAAGCTATAAGAGCTGCAGCCGCTGCCGCAGCTGCTGGCGGAGAAGCTATTGTTAGCGAGTCTGTTATGAATTTTATACGTAGTGTAGCAACCGCCAAGGAGTTTGTTCCCAAACATAAACAACAAGAGATGAAAGATAAGCAAAGAAAATTGTCTGACGAAAAATTAGCCGAAAAAGATGACGAAAAGAAAATTGAAACAAAACCGTCAGTGGAAGGTCTGAAGAAATTTGATTCGAATGTAGAACTTGATACTCGTACGCCAAAACAAAGAGCTGCTGATGAACAGCGCCGTATTAGAAATAAGGTACTTGCACTATAGTTTTTAATGTACAATATTTGTATTATATATATATTTGCATTTCAATATCTTTAAGGATCGTCCTTCGATTGCCATATATCAACCGAAAGCACGTTTACGTATTTCGGAAGAGCGTGATCCCAGTACATCTCAACCTCTAAGTAGTGGGAAAAGCGACACTCGTAGCAATCCTACATCTGATTGTGAAAGTGTAAAAAAAGAGGAAACGAGAACGAAAAAGGTGTCTCGTTATTCAGAGCGAAGGGCAGAAAGGCGTAACAATAAGGACAAACAAAAAACTTCGCCTGATCCCACTGAATCCGATCAAAAAGATGAAATGGAACAGCCCAAATCAAATGCAGCTGAAAATGAGGTTATTGAAACCCAAGATGCAGCCAAATGCACTGAGGAATAAAAATTGTTAAGTTTTTATCGGAATTTATAAAAAAAACTCTAAATTAAAGTTTGATTTTAAGTTTTAATTTTCAATATTAGCGAAATCTTTCAMAAATTACAATCATTTGAAATTTACACTTTTGTTTTATTTTGATTAATGGTTTTAATTTCAAATAGTGCAAAGTTAGCCGGCTACTAAAGTACTACGGTTTACAATCATTTGAATATGAGTAATATATTTATCACTCGTAATATGTGTACTATATTAAACATTTTATGTGAAGAAATAACCAGATATTGGATTTATGAATCTGTAATAAATAATTATCTTATTTGTGCTAATACTTCTATTTACCAATTGATATGCATTCTATTTATGCCTGTAAGTCAAAAAGAAAATCTATTATTTAAAAGACATTATTTCTTCTTTTCATAATTTTGAACATTTTTGACACGAGGGTACATTATTATCTGGAAAAGAACATCTCCAAATTTCAATACTWCGCCTCACATCCACATGTTCATTAAAAATATTTGCTGTATATTCCTTTTAACGTAGTTGTTAYCTTGATAATTTATGAATTTTATGTATGTAAATGTCGGAGCGGTAGTCTTGTATGCCTTGTATTTTGTATGTCAGTGGATAAGTATGCGTATGYCTGAGTGCTAATACTTTGTAGGCAGAGCATTATTTGAAATAGGCGACGCAGAGGCGGCATATTATTTGTGGAATACAATGCTCGCGACAGACTGCAAACGACATCTGTCAAATATTTAAATACACACATTCTTATGGACGGACCTATTTTGACAGCTGCACGACTACACGACTGCAGGCCGACAGTTGTCGTTCTCGCTAACTTCAATTTGATATTTGCCAATGACAGTAGGACGACAGTAGAGTTGACAGKAGAATGGAAGATAGAGAGATGAGGTAGAGTGGTGATGCCACTAATATGTAAAATGTAAAATTACTCAAAGCTCTAAMAAACCTGACGTTATTTTACAAATAAAAGCATAAAATAGCTCTGTTACATCATTTATAATAACAATTGATAATTTAAAACCAATACATTTACCTATTTACTTATTTTTTGCTTAAAAATTTCGCTTTGAACAAAATATTAAAATTTCATTGAAGTGCAAGGTATTAGTATGGCCACAACGAAATTGTGTGCATGAAAATGGACAACTGCGTTGTTTTGTGTACATGCCGGCCATTGTTATGTTGCTGCCCACTCACAAACGTTCATGTAATGGCTGTCTCTTATACACATCTAGATGTGTATAAGAGACAGAATATGTAAAATGTAAAATTACTCAAAGCTCTAAAAAACCTGACGTTATTTTACAAATAAAAGCATAAAATAGCTCTGTTACATCATTTATAATAACAATTGATAATTTAAAACCAATACATTTACCTATTTACTT